AGGACGCATTTGTTGTTCAAAATTGTGGGTCACGATGTCTGTGCCACTGACCTCGTACAATGTACAGCTGATTCCAGGCCGACGACCGCAGCGTTCAAGGAATAGTGTCAGAGTGACCTCAGATATGGCTAACACAAAGTTCACTTTCACTGCACTGTCACCAAACTCAGTCCAGTTAATTAATCACTGATAATCCGAAACATTGATAATCCAAAATCGTAGAGGTATCCTATGGAGGGAGGTGAGGTTGTCGAATTGTTTGATTCAGCGTTAAAATGGAGTAACCCTGAAAAGGGCCGATAAAATCATAAAAATCTTCTATTACCATGGTTCTTCGGGATCGTGGCCTCCCTACTTCGTTCCCGATTCTGCGGGGCACGTCGATGGAATAAAACCTTTTTATAATACAGTAGAGACTCCCGTATCCGAACTAATAGGGAGACAAAAGTGATCAGATAGTAGAAGTTTCGGATAATAGAATAATCATCTTCTTTTGCATTAAACTTCATTTATTCAAGTAGAAATTAACAAAATTTATAGTTTCTTTCAATATTTAAGGGTCCCATATCTCTTTAGCCGCTAAGTCACATAAATTTTGTATTGTTTGCTAATTTCTTCAATTTCATACAATAAAAGTTTTCTCCATGCTCTTTACAATGTTGTATTTTTAATGCTGGTCCACGCATTCGCTATCATGTAAAAGCAGTCTTTTAAATTAATTTTTTTATATTGCTCTATCACACCCTCTTCACTCATGCCAAATGTAAACAGAAGTTTTTTAAGCAAATCTTTTCTGTATAATATTTAAATATTTTCTGTTTAAAGCACTCAATTACTCCTTGATCTAGTGGCTGTGTGAGTGAAGTTACATTAGGTGGCGAAAACATAATCTTTGTAAATTCGTCCTCCTGGTAAACACATATTGACATGTTTAAAATAACGTGGATGTTTACTGTTTTTCAATAATCTGAACTGAAAGTTGATGACATCCGCTAGCATGTCATCATTTCAAACATCACTATGAAACGTTGTGCGGATAACAGAACGTCCGTATATTAAAGTATTCGGATAATGGGGTACGGATACGGGAATCTCTACTGTACTTTTAACCTCATATCGCGATGGCGTAGCGATATGCAGATAATCCGCGCGCGATTTTTCTATCGCCTGTACTATATCTATATATATATAAAGAAAATTAATGAAAATGTAACTATTGAATACAATAACTAAATAACGATGTTTAAAAATCAAATTGTCAACAATTGATGCAAATTAAATAATAACTAATTAAGAAGTACTTAACAACAATTTGACAACAAATTAGCGAGCAATTGAAAATGAATCCTTAAGTTATAATATATATGCTCTTATTAATGCGAAACAGTTAATAAAATGTTATAGTTACAAAATACAAATATTATAAATATTCAATATACAATATACACCTGTGCTAACCACTCTTAAAATGACAATTATGAAGAATAGATGAACTGTGCCAGACATATTACTTCTTTTCAAAATTATGAACAATATCATTATTTTGTGTATCGTGCTATCATTGATTGTCCTCCTATATTTAAAAATTTAATATTAACCCACGTCCAATACGTAGCTGTTTGTTATTCAGAGTCGAGACTTATAAGACTGATCTTACCTTGATCTATTTTCTGGCTCTACCAATAAATGAAGGCAATCGGCTCCCAAGATCATCAACGTAATTTAATTTAAGTAAGTTAACATTTTATTGTGAACAAGTACTTGAATGAGACATTCGTAATTCTAGTTTTGTATATTCGATCAAATAAATAAATAAATAAATCTTTTAAAAATCTTTGTAGGGACAAGAAATTCGTGTTCGAGCAATGAATATTGAAATTGTTTAAAAGTAGCAATGAGCGTGATAATGAGAAAGGTGCTTTATGGAAAAATCTATGAAAAAATGAAACACCATGCATACAAAAATTGGTTAAGCTAACCGAAGGATGGTGCGTGGCGACAAAACATCGTACATGTGTCGTCAGTTGATATTTTCTTGATTTGTCTGAATCAAATATCGTTTCGATGCGACAGTTAGACGATTTTCTCTTCATATATAGGGTGTTAAAAAAGACCATTCAATATTTATTGGTATATAGGATATATTGTACTGAGTAAAAAAAGCCTTAGTAAACATTTCTGAGATATAAACATTTTTGTTTGCTAATATCATGATTGACTTACTACTGAATTTTCGACGTTTACAGAAGATTTTCCACGTGTCCACCTTCCACTTCTACACACGCTTTGCATCTTCTTGTTACAGAATCGCGAATTCTCTCGAAAATTCCACATTTCTGTTGAATTGTTTGACAAGCATGGTGGATTCGGTTACGTAATTCTTCTAAGTCATTTATCGGCGAGGGGTACACTAGGCTTTTTTTCAATATCTCCATAAGTAAGTCAATCATGATGCTAGCAAACAAAAATGTTTATATCTCAGAAACGGTTGACCTTTCGACCTATGTTTACTAAAGCTTTTTTACTCAGTACAATCTGTATAAATATAATATTGAATGGTTATAAATATAAATATTGAATGGTTTTTTTTTAACACCCGTATGTCCATAAAATCCGATGCTGTGTAATAAAATCATGCTAGACGAAGAATTTTTCGTAAACTATAGGGTAAAAAATGTACGCTACGACTCGTTTTGGACTTTGATGGATATTTAGAACCACTTGAAAGAGGATACATTAAAGACTAAATATACTGGTATGTTCGAAAAATTCTCTCTACCTTTCATACACGCAATATAAGTTCGAACTTTCTAATATACTTAGTTTCTACGCAATGCCACTTTTTTCTGAAAATAGTGCTATTATACCGAAATTCACGTTTTTCGAAAACTGAACATTTTTTCTTTTGGATTCATCTTTTTGATAACAAACTCTACAAGGATCACCCACCGGTTAGTATAAATCAAAGTTCTTGTTGCACAATTATTCCATCTCTCTATATTTCCACATCTTACTTGCACTATTCATTTTTTACTTTGTCTTCTTTGTCTTTACGTAAACAAGTGAGTTGACAAGTGAGTCAAGTTCCTCTTTTTACAATTGTAAAACTTGGACTTTCGTGTGATGTCGATCAAAAAATTAAATACAAAACGTAACATTATTGTAACAAGATAAAGCGAAAGAATAGTAATTATACCATTATAACTTTAAATAAAATCAATATCCTTTTCACTAGTAAACAAACAGTAACGTAAGGAATAATGAAGTGAATACCACTTCTTTGTGACAAAATCATTTATTAATAATCATAAGTTATGCAGACGTTATTTTTAATACACTACAACTAGAAGTGATGGAAATTTCGGATATTCGAGTAGTTCAAAATTCGAACCGAACCGAGACTCGCTTTCCGAACTGATCCGAGAACTCGAATAACCGAGGAGCTCCGAAGAAACCGAATACAGTAAATTCTGTCCAATTGTTCCTCAGCTTGTCATAAATATTTGCCGTGACGCTTGAATAATCGTATCTCCTCTTCCAAAATTGTCCATTTTTGTTTACAAGCTGAGGGACTATTAGAGAGAATTTACTATAGTTCGAAGGAAATCGAACAGTTCGAAAGAAACCAAATGGTTTGAAAAGAATCGAACGGTTCGAAAGAGTGTCTTCAATGATCGGAGTAAGTAGATTATAAATTCCTACATTGTAAAGGGCAGGTACATCCACATACCACAATTTACAAAACTTTAGCAAAATCGTAAAATCTTCCAGGGGCTGTAAAACTGTAGAGTTTATAATTGTCGACACAGCGCAATTAGTGATTTGAATAAATTGGAGAGGATTAAATACTTGAATTTATTTCAAGACTATAGCATGCCCCAGTTACCAGAAACTGATACCACTTTATTATATAATTTCTGACTTCTCTGAAGATTTTTCAGCTACATATATCGTTGTGGGCAGTATTTTTGAATACTGGAAGGACTAAGCAGCGCCGAACGTTCGTCACAGTATACTAAACTAGCTAGAGCTAATTCTAAGCTAGAGTTCTTATACACCAACCCAGGTGATACCAGTACTGGCGATTTAATATTGATCGATTTGATTTTAGACAGCTATCAAGCGAGCAATTGGTCAAATATTGATCTCGCAGCAAATATTTTATTTACTTGCTTCCTTCTTTTCTTACTTACTAAATGACATGAAAGTAAAATTTTTAAATACGGATTACCTAAAGAGTATAACTCGTCCATTTTATCCATCGTGAAGCATAATATAATATGTACTAGCTTTGTCGTATGTTCATCTTTATATATATTTAACTCACAGTCATATTTTACAAAAACAAATGCTTCGAGTTCGTCAAAAAACGCATTTATTAGGATAAGTATGCGATTTTTCAATGAAGGCGAACTTTGGCAGAGAAAATAAGACCTTTTACGCCAATAAATTGAGAACTTGAGCTGTACCTATTATTCTTTATCTTGAATATTTATTTTTCTTAAGATATTGAATCTCTAAAAGCACACAAATTTCATTAAAAAGCGTAATGTAATGCATATATTACTGCTGTTATGTATTTATTACTGCGAGCCAAATACTGCGGACACTCCAATTACTGCGTGTCAAATACTGTGGACGTTCCGATTACTGCATGTCAAATACTGTAGACTAAATATTATTGCATGTAGAATAGTGCAAGTGAATAATACAATAATTTAATCTACCTCCCGTATTACTCAGTAAAAATATATCAAGTAGGTATAATACGTAAAAATACATTATATAACAATACAAAAATATATTTATATTTATTTTCATTCATATATCATTATATACAATAGGTACTTATCATTTTTTACATAAAAATATATATTTGGCAACAGTTATCTTTTAATAATTTAAATAAAATTATTATAATTAATTGTTTCTTACAATGCTGCTTGCCTGTTCTGAAAATATACAATTTTTGTATTTATTTATTCTTGCTCCTTTTTTTTATAACACATTTTCTATAATTTTATTTTTTTAATCCAATTCTACAATTTTTTCTTTTGAAGTCTTTCAATCTCCTTGACGATCTTCATCTGTTCTCAAAAATTTTGCTTTCTTATATCTTATTCTTGTTTGCTCCCTTATAACTCGCTGTTCTATCCGTTTCAGAAGTTATTCCTGCTTCTGAATTTTTAATTTTTCTTTGTTTTTTCAATGCTATCTCTTTGACTTTCCTATTTTTTTCTACCTCTTTTATTTGAATTATTCGTTGGGCTCCAGATTCGCTGGCCTCCAGATATAATGAGAGGGGGTTTTATTTTAGACTTTGTATGTTTCATGTTTTTAAAAGGTTGTTATTAAGCCAAAATAAAAAATCTTTTACAGATTTTACTGATATTTCAGAAGTATTTGCAATATTCTGAAAAATTTATTTTTTATAACTGGTCATTAAGATGTCAGTACTCGGAATGCTTCCACCTCCTAACTACCGTCACAGCGCCTCGCTCCCCGCGTTGCTTTCACAGGCAGCCCATGGAAGCAACGCGGGGAACGAAGCGCTGCGATAGTAGTTAGGAGGCGGAGCCCAATGTTGCGTTCCGAGCACTGACTTATGTATTCTGCATCTGCCGATTCATTATCAAGACTTATTTTTTTTATGCTTTTTTGGCTAGTATTTAAATTTTTCAATTTTGTACATGACATAGAACTGTTAGACTTTTCTTCTAGGAGTATTGCATTAAAGTCTTCTGTAACCTGCACATGATTGAAAAATTAATTGCATCCTAATTTTTATGCTATTAGGCTAATACTAATTAAAATAGTTTTGTAATCAATACTTACATCGTCTATATTGGAAGATTCATCTATAGCTACAGTATTATCATCTTCATTTCTAGTAACATCTTTCAGAGGTTCTTCAGTGGTTGTTACTAATAAGTGCTTATCTGAATCTTTACCATTAAATTGATGATGTGTGGATAACAAACTGTTACAGCTTATTACATCTTCACTTAGAATATTCTCATTAATATCTAATTCCATAATAATTGATTATTCACGTCCAATTGCATTATCTATATACTTTGATAGCAAAGTCATCTAAACTAGTGATCTTCTTTTATGTTAAAATTGCAATTGCAATTATCAAAAAATAAATTAGTATGCAGTATCCAACTACTAAAAATATAATACCAGACTGATTTAAAAAATTTTAGTATAATTTTTGATAGGCATACTGGTATTTTCGAAGTTGTCTTTAAAGTACATTTTTATTGTTAATATTTACATTTTCAGAAACAGTTGCATCATCAAACTCTACCAGCTCATTAACCAACTGTGAATCAGTATCAACCACTTTTATTTTTATCTGGATGTGATAATTTGTACCAGATTTCAAAAAGGCTTTCATCTCTTGGCATCCCCTTCCAAATAGTACTGGTATTTAATCTAAATGATTGCAACTGGTGTATAGTTAATAGGCTTTCTAACACTTTTAAAGAATTTATATTATTGTGCACACTTTCAGATCCATTTTCTGGCGTATGAGATGAACTATTTATTTCCATCCGAGTAAAAAGCTTACTAAAATCTATGGCTTCAACGTCAAAAGGGTATAGTCCACATTTTTTAAATCCATTTTGCATAATGGTTTTAATATTAATGCAATTGAGAGTCTTGTTTAACAGTGGAGCAAATAGATATTTACGTATACCAATGCTTAAAGAATCTTTGCAATGTAATTTATACGTTTTTTGCCACTGTGCTTTTAATATTTTAGACAAATCTATTTTTAGAGGTTGCAATAGATTTGTAGTATTTGGATGTAATGCAATAAGTACAATTTCATTCTCTGAACAAAATTTGCTCAAATGTAATGTCATATGAGACAAATTACTATTAATGTATAAAATTATTGGACGCTTTATTCTTTTTTCAGTCAACCAAGGTTCAAAAACATTTGTAATGAATTCATAAAAGTTTTTAGCATGTATGCAGCCACTGTCTGAAAATCCAAATGCAAAATTGGAGGGAGTCATTTCTGCAGCATTATTTGGCAAAGATTTTTCATTAAAGAGAACAAAGGTTGGAGCAAGATCACCAGCAGCATTACTTGTAACCAAAACAGTGATGTTTTCTTTCTCATTATTATTGACAATGTTGTAAACATTTTTGCATTCTTTCGGTGCATTCAAAATAGGAGGTTTAGGACTTAAAGCCAGACCTATTTCATCACTACTGAAGATTCTGTTAGCTTCTATTGATAATAGATTTTGTTCTCTCAAATAGTTTGAAACATTTTGAAACCAGTTTCGTAAACTGTGCTCGGATACCTTAGCTCTATTTAAGGAAACATTTTCTGTCATTATTACTGCGATTTCCTCATGCCTCTTTAAAAATGAGTCGTACCAACTTCTTCCAGGTTTATTATCCCTAAACTGATTTTTCTTTTTCTTTTTTTGGCATATCATTTGCACACTGTCAATTAATTGAGGTCTTATTACTGGAAAACCTCTTTTAGAACATTCCAGGATCCAATCGACGAGATCTTTTTCTTCTTTTGTATTCAGAACAGTTGCAGGTCCAGGTTTTTTGTCGGCATAAAGTCCTAATTTCTTCGCCCTTAAGGTCGACTCTGGAAT